TAAAGAATAGTCGCTTATTCATGCGTTAAAAATCATACCATACCAGCTCATGGGAAAAAAGACAACATCGTTTCAAATCAAATCTGAACTTCAATTAATGTACAGCCTTTACTCAACAACAAGATATACCAACTGTACCTATAAAGCACCAAGGTGACCAGAACAAGGAGTCGACACTCACAGAAAAATTACTTATCAACGGACTCATGTTAAACTCACCAAGAGGTCAAGTTGGTGGCAATCTCAGATCCATTACTGAAGTACTTTTATATGATCTCCCAAGGATTTGTAGTCATTTTGGATGCTGTGGTAGAACGTCAGAGTGAGAGATGCCAATCATTTTTGGTTTACGTACTAAAGACAATGAGGTGTCAGAAAGCAGTTGCTAATTTGCTGTGAAATGTCCAACCATTTGTGCCAGTAGCTCTCAACCTTACACTTTTGAACACATGTTCTGCCTTTACTTATATATATATTTTTTTCCTATGAAATGTTAGATTGTGTAATCCCAAAAGAACAATATATGATACTTCAGATAATGAGGCCAGAGAGATAGTAACAGGTGTGACTATTGTGGAATACATCCAGTCACCTCTCACATCATCATCATGGATGCAAGTGCTCTTATTGTGAAGAGGAGTCTAATATCTAATCCTTCCCTACAGCTATTCCAAGACATTATGTTGCCGGCATAATGCACAAATGTGCAATATTTAATGAGAAAGATCTTCTTTTCTTTTTTTTTAAAGGAAGAGGGAAATGGTGTGTTATTGCTCTTCAGAAAACTGACAGCACCTTCTCATTCTTCTCCACTGTGCTACTTCAAAGTAAAAAGACGATTATATTTGTTTGATTGGCCACTGAGGGAGATATTAAATTGCATTATTATCATGAGTTTTTTATTGACGTGGTTCTCATTTTTTACAATAGTATCTAGAGTGTCAGCATCTTAACTGAGTTCAAAAGACGTTTGTCCCTTTGCAAATATTAATCTTTTTACAAATGTTTCTCCAATTGTTGGCTCATTACTATTTTGTCTTTTATGTCACTTTTCTCATGACAAATATGTGATTGCCATATTTTATGGTCCAGCATTTCAGCCCCCATGTTGTGGGAATGCACTTGTTTTGATATTTTTTGAAAAAGATATATTACAGAAAGCTGACATCTATCTTGACATGAAATGTAGCATATCATCTCATTCCTTTTTTATCCTTAGCTTAATACACACCACCAACATCTCTTTATATTCATCAAAAAAGTACATCTTCTGCTTTTAATGTTGCCTCATTTACATTGAATATGCTGTGATTCTTTTCATACGACTTCGAGTTTTGCAAGTTTATTGAAATTATAACTTGGATAAATTAACAGTTTTAAATAAAGTTGTTTTTTATTTTATCCAGTTTTTATCCACCTTTATAAGAGAAATATCCAGAGTGGATGATAACATAAGAGTAAGTAAAATGAGTAAAATATATGTGTAATACATTGTCTTAGTCATAAACTTTTTTTTTTTTTTAAAGAGGATTTTGCATGTAAATCTTTATTTTTCAACATAAATTATATTTAGCAAATAATATGTACAATTTAAATAAATTATTCAATTTGCCTAAATATAAGCTATATGTTTTTTGGCCTTAAGAGGACACAGAAAACTGAGCTGCGAGTGTTTAAGTGTTATAAACTACATTTTGATAAGAGGGATTTCACGTGAAATACTCCAAGATAATTACAATTATTTTAAGGATCGTCCAGAAATCAATGCAGATGGTAATGTCAGGCTTATCCCAGGTATGCACGGCAAAGATAAGAATGATTAAATCCACCGGCGCATTAATGAGTATGTAGATGTAAAATAATCCTAAAAGGCATGGCAGGGTTGCTGTAGGAGAAGCCAAATGTCAAGTGGCATTTTATTTTCTGGAGGATCCTTTTTAAAAAGGGACACGGTTCTTTCTTATCCAAACTGAGCCCTCAGAGCCTCTCAGATCTCATACAGCAACACAAAGCGCACAAGAGGGGCTGTGCACAGAGACGGGATTTGTGGCGAGAACACAGGATGTCCATTTGAAAAAAAAAACCTTCTCTGTCATAGTTATTGGAAAATTCATTCAATTGTGGCAAATTAGATGTAGAGCAATAACGTAAAAACAAAAATGGATACACGTGATACAATGATAAAACGTGTTTTTGCTGTGTTGGGTAAGGAATTAGGCTACTTTACGTTGTGTGTTTTTAGATTATTATTATTTTATTTCCAAAGCTATAATCGGTTACAATGTGAAAATACCAGATTTGCGTATTCCAGTCATCCGGCGCAGTACAGTCAATCTATTTATATCTAATCTGATTTAGTTTACTTGGATATAATATGGCAAATAAACGGATATAATGTCTGTGATGGAGGCTGGTGGAAAAAACATGTGGTTAGTCATTTGGCTTGGAAATGAGAGGCTTATTTCTGAAGACGGTGATTTAAGCAGCAGCTCGAATGCTGTAAATGAGACCCTTAATATCATGGCCATAATTAATTGCGCAAATTTGTTTCTATTAAATAAAACTAACACATACTGAGAAAACTCTATTAGCCTTAATTAAGCTTGATATCCTAATTTAGGAAATGTGTGGTTGAAAACAAGGCGTTTTGGTAGATTTTTTCCCTGTCTTTCTCCGATAGTGAAAGCCTACCAGCTTTCTGCCTTTGGGCTGCTTTGCCTCCTTTGAGAGTTGGAAATGAGAAATGGAAATGGAAATACCAGGAGGTGCTAAATTAGCTGCCTGATCTGCACTTATTGCCGCATACAGGCCCCTATTACTTTGCCAATCTGTGCCTCTCTTTTAGCATTCCGGGCATGGAGAAGCTTCGAGATAGCAGATTTATCAAATGGGAAAATGAATGCATGATGATCAGTTAAATTGAAAATCAGCGTCTGCATGACAGCCCGACCTGACACCTCCGTAATTAGAAAGAAAAATGATGGCGTCCGATGCATAATAGAGCAAAAACAATTTACACTCTCCCATAATGATCCGGCGTTCAAATTGAAAATTTCTCCGGGTATAAATTGAATTCATAAAGTATGATTCATGGACGACACATCTCCTGGAGGCTGCCTGGGCATATCGATTGATAGTTTGTCTTGAATCATGCAGCGTGCAGCTCTCAGGCAAGAAAAGCTTAACTACTTAAGCAAATCGCTAATTTCACCTTAAGGCCACCAATGTGCAGCCAGCGATACTCCTATTCAGTGTGCTAATGAATTATGGATGAACTGGGCATACGTCCCAAATAGCCAAGACTAGCATGGAAAAACACACACCGAAAATTCTTAGGGGTTGTTTCACATTGGCCCCGGTTATGCCACAATTGAAAAAGTAAACCATGAGTTTGTATGATTTGAAAGAATTAAAAAGCAATGGATTTACCAATTTCAGCTTTGAATTTTGTCTTAATATTGGTAATGGAATAATGGAAACAATTAGAATATTCAAACCCTTAGAATACAATGTATAACAACATTGCAAGTCCCTTAAATATTTGGTTAAAATGTCACTCATATAAATATTAATGTGATGCCATGGACAATTTAAAACCCCTACAATAAGGTCTCTATAAGCAGCATCAGACAGAGGATACACCTCTAACCCTTAGCAGGCCTAATCCTCTGCATGCTCCCTGTGTGCCATGTTGGCTGGGTCTCCCCCCCCCCACCCCCCAACCTAATAAGACATTGCTTCCTAGAGCAAACAGCTGCATGGGTTGACATTTATGTAAATATTTTGAAAGGGACACTGGCTCAGAAAGTCATTTGCGCCGGCTCAAACCTCCGATTATTTTCAATGTATTTGCAAATCAAGAGACTAAACACTAAAGGGCTTGTGGGTTTTAACAGCAATGTGAGCATGTTTGGAAATAAATCTTTTGTTTTAAGATTTTTTATTTATTTATTCCCTACATTTGTTCCTTAGGTCGACGTGATATTGTGGTCATCAGTGCTAATATTGCAATAGGGGGGAGCAGATGTCCCAGATCCCGCGTGGCTTCCCTGGGGACCCCCAGCCCTATTAGAACAAATGTGTTCAGCTATTGTAAATAGGCACGTTTGCCTCAGCCCGTCCTATTACAGCCAACGCATGATCAATAGGCTGATAACACAGAAACATCAATGTAAAGCGACAGAACAATGAGGGATATCATCGAACATCTATCTTAATATAGCCCTGCTACAAGGGGCCCTGACAAAGTGGAGAGAGAAGGAGAAGAAAAAAAGCTCATGAAAATGCCTCCCCACGAATCCCCATCTCCTATCCAATATGCACAAACACACACACTCCCAGCTGCCGGGGCTATTATTTTCCTATTTCAATTTGACACCCAGGCCTTTTCATGCTAATTCTATTATTCTTGGAAGTTTATGTGATTTCATATCACTAGAAATCGGTAATGTATTATAACCCCCTTTGAGCTAAAATAAACTGAATCCCCCTGCAGTAGCCACCGGGAAAATAATTACTTTCATATCAAAACTCTGCAGGAGTCGAGCGGGTCCTTTTCGCCTCAGGCTCGTAACCTCATTTCAGTGGGGGCTTATAGATGAATAAATTTGTTAAGGCAATATACAAAGTACAACATGAGATTTCTTAAGAAAGCCCCTTCCTACTGTACAGTGGTCCTGCACTGACTGTATGTGCTGCTATTTAAGGTCTCACACGGTTTGAGGTGCTTGTATACAATAGATTTATTTAAGAAAAACCTTACATATATAAATAGTATAATACCTTTGTACAGCTCTTGAGGATTTTTGTTGGTCTTTTCTTTTGACAAGTTATCACACATTATCTAGAGACTCCTGACTCACACACACATACACACTCGCAGGGAGAGAAAGAGAGAGCACACCATTGTCAAAATATCAGCAAAGTGTGTGTGTGGGGGGGGGGCAATTAGATACGAAGATGTAGCCTAGTTAAGCTTTGGCCTAATGGAAGGTGTCGTTTAGAGGCTATATCAGTATGATGTCTTTTCTTTTTTTTACCCCAATGATTTATTCCATGTCGACATCTTCTTTAGAGTTTGTCTTTGTTTCAGCTGGACTGTCACTGAGGACACACTCGGGGGGGTCAGGCTGGTCCTTGATCTCTAAAAGCTCTTTTCTGTCTGCATCGACAGGCGTAATTGGACTGTGTTCGTGGACGAAAGTCGAATCGCTGCAAATAACAGAGGTCTGAGTACTTTTGCCAGTGGGAAAGGCGGCCCTCGGTGGGCTGGTGTGCGGTGATCGTGTCTTTTCCTCCGAGCCCACCTGTCCCTTCGGTGCCGGGTCTGCAGAGGCCGGGGAGCTGCTTCTACATCCCGCAGAGCCCGCAGACGTCACGCTGCAGCGGCTCTGGTTCCTCTCCGTGTGGCTGTCAGAGTTCAGCGTCTTCAGAGCAGTTTGGGGAACAATGAATCCAAGCGGCTGTGTGATGGGATAGAGCAGGAAGTGTCCCTTCCCTATCAAAGGCCGTGAGGGGGGTAAGGCCGCGGGGCTGCGCCTCGGTCTGGAGTCCGAGAGGAGGCTCTCCACGCTGAAAGGGTTCAGTTTCTGCACGCTGGACGCGCTGCTGTTGGCGCACAGTGACCGGAGGCTGCTGGCGTCCGGCGAGTCCGGCTCGGACCCGCGAGCATCCCGCTCCAAAAGTCTTTGGTTATGGTTGTGGATAGACTGAGGTGTCGGGTCGCAGCCCGCTTGGCTTCCCTCCATGGAGTCAAAAGGCGGGCCCGTGTGGTCGCTGTCGGTCACATGCGACACCCCGCTGTCGCTGTCTGATCCCGGGGTGTGAAATAAATCCCCAGCAGCGAGCCTGTTCTGGGACTTGAGCAGCCGGCGCTCCTGCTTTCGTTTCTTCTTCTCCATGCGGTCCACCTCTCTGCGGCGGATCTCCTCGGGGTCCATGGGCTCCCCGCTGCAGGTGGTGGGGTGGGCGTTGTGCGCAGGTCGACCCGGACCCTTCTTTGTGTTCTCCTTTTTCCTCCATTTGGCTCTGCGGTTCTGGAACCATACCTGCAGAGGAGAGGAAAAAAATCAGTGAAAACACGTGTAAAGTTATGTCAATGCAAGGGGGGGGGGGGAATTAATGAGGCAAAATATTGTCAGTGTTTTATTAATATGGTAATTAAGCAAACAGTGAGATTGCACCTTTCTATGCAGGCTTTTAATTAGGCCTTTGATTAATAAAAACAAATGTGTACATGACAAAAAAAAGTTGGTATTAGAGGCATAACAAAATAAGATTCATATTAACATAGTTAAAGTTTAGGTCAGGATTACATGTTTTTCATATTATTATTTCCTATGCTAACTCTACAATTAAACTTAGCAAGCTTTCACAATTATATTATAGTATAATAAAAGAAAGCATATTTTCTTATGCAAATAATCTAATAAAGGTATAGACTGGTTTTATTGTTTGCTATTTTTCTTTATCCAAGATTGCCAATACATTTGACAATACAACGCCATATTTCTGGTACAAAAATAATAATATAAAAAATATCAGCTGGCATTAAAAAGCCTACTTCATTAGTTTTCAAACTAAAGGTGTAATTAAAATTGATTTATTGGACTGACATAAGCCATGAAAGGTCTAACAACCCACATCCATCTCGTGTGCCCTTGTCATTATTATTATTTTTTTATTAATATGAGTTGTATAATATGAACTAAAATCAACCAATAGAACAGAATATTTATTTTGCTTGTATTTCACAGCAGTTTGGGTCAATAAACACATTGAGTCTTTGTCATGAGTGAATAATAAACAAAGGAATAACACACACACGCTTCAAATAATTAGTTGAAAAATATATAGGTACAAATGAATATTTACCTGAACCCTTGATTCTATCAAGTCCAATCGAAGAGCCAGTGCCTCTCTCATGAAAACGTCCGGATAGTGGCTCTCATTAAAAGCCTTTTCTAATTCCTCCAGCTGCCAACCAGTGAAATTTGTGCGAGTTCTCCGTCTCTTGCAACCAGGGCTATCTTTGTCTGGGTCCCCCGAGTCTGACAGCGGAATGAGAATAAATGTAAACAAAAGAGAAAAAATACACAGATATAATTCAAATACAACATTTTCATACAATTCTAACGAGCGTGGTTTCATGCATACGCGAGGATTTCTGCAAACATTAGAGCTGAAGAAAGGGATTTCATTTGAGATTAATTTGTTGCAGTCTAACATGCAGCTATATCTGAATAAAGAGGAATCCTTCACATGTTAACACGGGCATATCCTTGCTCTAGTATCTCCTGACTGACAGGAACATTGTTTTTGCTCGGCTGCATCTTCAGTTTTCAGGGATGGAAATGAAGTAGGAGGCGAATTATTCTCCTCTCTGCCTGTATGTGTGTGGCTCGGCTTGCCCTTTAAACACACCAAGAGGATAACTTAACGCAATATCCTGTCTTTGTTTCTTTCCGTTTCTGTCTGCGCGACCATGCAACCGACCTAGAGCAGATGTTATTGTGTGTATAACGGGGCTTACCTGACAGTTTGTACTGCTGATTATCTCCATTCATCCCGCAGCCCGAAGACAAGAGGTGGCTGGAATTGCCCACTGAAGCCGTGCAGGAGCCATTAAGTAATCCGTCTATAGAGAAGGGAAGCGCTGACGCAGATTGAAGTTGATGCCCGGCTAATTCGTAAACGTGATGGTGGCTGAGATGGTACGGGAAGCCCACCATCCCGCCGAGAGAGCCTCCGAACTGGGCGTGAGGAGCATCCAGTATCCTGCTGTCCATCATCCCGCAGGCAAAAGGAAACGACGTCTGGAGGCCGGTGATGGGAATTTAAAAAGCATGCAGTGAGTGTGGCCAACGAGTAGGGGACATGATGTGAAGGGAGGGATGAGCTGTACTTTATCCACATGAACCTCCCAATAATTAGCCCAGGCTCTGGGAATATGAGACCCAATGAGAAGCGGTAATGGACGCTGACGTCAGAGGCGCGCTCTGCAAACGCTCCCCGTATCGATTGCTAATTAAAGCTGACATCCACCTCAATAAACAATATCAGAGCTGTCACAACAAGACAGGAGGGCTTTGATAAGAACTACATCGCAACTACACGGGGGACCCACCGGGAGGAAGGGCTCCACTGATCCCGGGAAGGAAGGGCTACAGGCGGATGTGTTAGGCCAGCGGCTCCCGGACTTTTTGTTCAGCGGAGGGGCTGCAAATAGGTGGATATTAGACCAGATTAGAACTAAATGGTCATATTTTATACATTTTAATTAACATTTTTGAGAGTTTTCACCTTTTTGCAAATGCACGTCTTTTCAGGACCTAGCAGAACACAACTTTAAAATGTGAAAAACTAGCCTACAATACAATGCTAACTGATAAACTGAAAAATATTATTTTATAAAGGGATACATGGGACCCTTTCCGGTCCCTGAGCTTCACATTGGAAGCCACTGAGTTAAAATACCCCCCACCCCCATGTTATTTATGGTTGATCATTTAAACACATTACACCTTTACACCTAGACAGGTTCACGTGCATGGCGTAAAACAAATAGGGCGACTGTTGAAATATGGTTGTGTATTTAAAAGGGGAGTTGAGATATTGCTAAAGGCACAAAGCGAATACAACTATAATATTTCACTGTTACAGGGCAAAATAATCAGTTACGACCAACATTTATATGAACAAAATATATGACCAAATACAGAAAGGATACACATAGAATACAAGAAAAAACTTCCAAACATGCATTACAGGCATGCACAACATTTCCTGTCAGGAAGCACAATTGGAAAGCTCTTCCACTTGTGCAACCCCTGCACTCAATATGTGACTAGCCTAAATCCTATCTGCTCATTAGGTTTTCAAATAATTAATTCGACTTTATTTATCCCAAGTCTGGCGCTGTCATAATGTTAATCAGAGTTGAAATTTCGCACCCCACTCATTCCCTGACCCTTGGCACCCGGATTGGCATGTTGTAATAACCTGAATCTCTCAACAGAAGCTGCGATAATTGTTACCCTATTAGCATGCAAATTGTTTAATTAATATTATTATGAGGAAGTATATAATCCGCTCGTCACTTGACCCCCGAGCCCAAATAACAACCCCTCTGTATTTCCAGTGTGTGTAGCCTTACATTTTAATGAACTCCTCAGAAATGATCTCCATCCTTCCTTTAATAGCAGCATGTGTGGACTCGTCTTTGAAGCTCTTTGTATTTTTTACTTTAATTTTAACGCACATGGACAGGATCTTATGAATAATTCCTCCCCATTCATTTCTTTTTTGAACATCTAAAATTCAATAATTGCTTTTCCGTTCTTTACCAAGCACACACATAAGGCTGTCCCCCCCCAACTCGGCGAACAGGAGCTCAATGAAAGGCAGCCCTTGACACAGTCTCCAGAGACATTGCATTTAAATCCGTTTTTCTACAACCGGGTGACATTGTCAGATTCCAGCTTTAATTAACCCGATAATAAGGCGAACAAGGCCAGCATTCAGTGCACTGTTGTCTGCCTTGTTACCTTTTTATAACTGGCTCTTTTGGCAGCTTGTTCAGAGGGAAAAATAATAATAATAAAAAAAAACGTGTTGTTTTTTTCTCTCTCAATGTGTGTTGCAGCTGGACACATCGTCTTTATTGCATTTATGTGTTGTTGATCCAAATCAATAAGAGCACAGGAGGGGGGGGGCGGGGGGGGGGGGGGGGGGGGGGGGGGGCTATAGACTAATTGATTCAACTTTCCATCCAAAGAGATAAATTCCAGGAGGGCTCAGAGATCATGACAGATACACCTCAGCACTGATATGTGGTTTTCTAATAAAGTGTTGGGAGTAAATAAAAAAACGTTAGTTACTTTACAAGGAAAATGGAAGGGGCATCCTTTATGTGCATATACAAGCTTAAAATGTGCAATTGTGGGATTTCAAAGATAGTGTGGACAACTTGCCCTTTCTAAAACATCAAAACACATTTTACTTTTTACTTTTGCTACTTGATATGTTACTGTTTGTGGCAACTTATCACCCCAATAGATCCCTTTAAGCACTTTTTATAGGATAAAACAGCATTGCCGCCATTAGATATTACCTTTCCAATGTATTGATACGCGTAAGTGGAAGATAATATGATCAGTAACAGATAGAGAAGCACAGAAAGTGTATTATATCTATGATGACAGGATGCTTCTGACTTGCTTTACACTTCGATCTAGACATGTTTTCTGATGTTGATGCTCTTTGCCATATGTTAATTTGATCATTTAGGGGTGTTACATTTTGCTATAATCACTTAAGGATGCTGTTTAGTCCACTAATACCCACAACAGTGATGAATTAGATGAAGGAAAACAGCAGTGGCACTGATAGAGCACATTGTAGAGTCCCTTGAATACACACAGACACACTAAATCCCCATATTCACTCCTTGTCCAAGAGTTCAAAAGTCCCAATCCTGAGAAATACATGTTTTCTGGACTCTTTCAACCCATCAAAGTTTCTTTTTGACGCTAAACAAACAGAAGTCAACCACCTCTAGCTCCACTTTATCTCTTCCTTCCCTAAATAAATCTCTTTAATGCCAACTTTATGTGTTGTTTGTCAATTTGGCTGAGTCTCCTAAGAGGATTTTGCAGCTCACCTGCACCAGATAACCAGATAACTGACATTTATAGGCATGCCATCTTAATATACCCTAGGTGTTAAGATGATACAGCCCAACCCCCCCCCCCCTTCCCCAAAATGACACAGGCCTTATCAAGACACCATCCAACACTGATGCTTACTTTAGCAGCATAGAATCAAATTCATTTTTAATTAGGCAGGCAAATTAATAGGCAGCAGTTTAGGAGTTTAATTACTCAATTAACTTCACGCACGTTAATTTTTAACTATCTAAATTAGGTTGCACATTATTCGATTTGATGATAATTATAGAATTAAATCTAAATTAATTGTTTTGGATGATTTGGATGAACTAGATGCAATTCCAATTAAACAGTAAGAAAAAAAAGCTGGATGCCATTTTAAGCTCACAAATCCTTTGATTCGATTTTAAGCAAGAATCTCTGCCTGGAAATGTTTCCCTCTGATCCCGCAAATTCTCTCTCTCCTCTAATCCCACAATTAAAAGTTTCCTCCCATCTAATTATCTGTAATTGTGCCGCTGTCAAAGTAGAATGGAGAAGTGAAAGCGATTGATTTGGACTTTTAATTCAGTTCATTTCTGATAGAAGAGAAAGTAATTCCCTTCAAATTACCTCATTCAATCCTGACACCCTAATGCCCTTCAAAAATCTTTTTTTTTCACTCCCCAGCATTTATATATTAAAAAATGAAGCCAGAATGACTAGTGCCTCCTAATAATAATAACCAAACTTCCATTAGAATAATAATTTCATTTCAATTAAAACTGACTTATCACCTTTGCTAAAACGTGCTTAATATGCCGAAAATTATCAATGCTTGAAGGAGCCCAAACTGGGGAGTCTAATTGTAATCAGCAAATCAGAGGTGCTTGTCGCTGCCGTGCCTTTGCAGAGAGGCAGTCTCGGAAATAGAACTAATTTACTCAACTCCCCCGGGAAATCCGCTCAACAGATTAACATTTTCAAAATATAGTAATGATATAATTTGAGAAATGGTGACGCCAATTTGTGAGGAGCCTTTGTGCGGAATAATTTGCATTTTTTTTTCTCCTTCGCCACCGCCTGCATTTTGCCCCCGTTAATTACAGCTCCGCAGATGAAGGGTGTGCTGTTTGACTCAGTGCTTATTATTCAACTTCAATATAATAATTCGACTCTACAGGAATATAAAAAAGTGGAGCCCATCCGAATTTTTAAGCCATCCTCCATATAATCCCCAAATGGTTTTGGATGGGGTGGTATGAAGTATGAATAGGTGCATATATGTGGGAATATAGTGTGCCTGTCACTGTGGGTGTCTGTTATTATATAGCTCATATAGCTGCTTATAGGAAAGGCACATTATGGGGTTGTTTGATTTTTAAGCATCTTAGACACAACCAAAACACCATTACAGTTTCCTGAGAGAGATATGTAATAAATAAACTCCACTTACAAATGTCATCATATGCAGGTGTATTGAACTGTGATGCATCTGAACAGCACATTTATAAACTTTAGAGACTAATCCAAAAACTGAGGATAAAGTTGAGACAAGGCCTGAGAAATGGAGCTATTTATTAACACCATCATACACCAACTTGCTCGGCTTGTGTGGTTTGTTCTGACTGCAGCCAAATTGGAAGTGATGGCAGGGTAGCTCGCAGTCCCTGGCTGTTTCCTCACATTACAAAAGATCTGCTAGAGAGAGCGGTGACTGTACTCTGCGGCCCGGCCATCTGCTGCTGTTCAGAAAATATGGAAAACCCCCAGAGAGACTTACTGTAGAACTATACACTGCAGCAAAACAAGACAGCATGTTCTAACACAAAAAGACAGATTGAAGCTTAATGTGAACTTTTGAGATTCATGCTCAACAAACTTGAGGCTTATGTTTTAACACTGCTATTGCTGTTCTTTCCCAGACACAAATATGGAGCAGGAAATGTATATTTTGGACATCATTGGTTGTTGTTGGATCATGTGGATGACAGGTTTAAGGTCATATTCTGCAGGAACATCAACACTCTTTCAAACTCCATCCTGCATTTTGTTATAAATCATCATGAAATTATCAAATAATTCAAACCAAAATAAGACAGCACTAGTATACCTACCTAGTGCTGGACCTTTTGGCCTCTTTGACCTCTTCATCCAAC